AATAATAATAATAATTTTAACAAATTGCTATTGTCAAATGTGGATATAATGAAAATAAAACATTGTCTGTTCCAGCCGTGTGAGTAAAAAAGCTTTACCACTTCTACTGGTCCAGTTCCTGGTCGGGACTCCAGTCAACAGCCTGTTGGTCAGCCCAGTTTAGGATGGAAACCACCTAAGAAGAAATTGATAAGCTATGTAAGTTGAAGAAAAATAAAAACTGTACTGGAGGCATTTTCGGTGTTTAACTTAACCTGTGTCTGCCAGGTCGACCATTATTTAAAGTTCAATTGTTAATTAAACATACAGTACAATGAACTACAGTTTTATTACATTTAATGGAGGCCGTTCACCTACACAACCATTATTTTAATCTGTACAATTGTAATAAAGATAAAGCAAAAACAATGAGTCAAGTCAAGTTGGAACTAATCTTTAACAACCTTACCTAATGAATCCAGCCCATGCTGATGAAGGATGACATTTTGTGTTCAAAATTTGACCTGGCATATCTGCGTCTTTTATTTCCTCCACTGGTGCAGTTCTTCATAAAGAAAGAAAACATGGGACAAAAAGGCACTATTTAAGCTTCCATTTGACTTTTCTCTCTGGGTCTCTGCAGCTCAAACACAAGTCACAATAGAAACATCAATCAAAGATTAAACACGTCATAGAATGTTGGACTAAAGATGACCGAAATTACATTTGGATAACTTGCAGTTTTTACACATGTACTGTTTAAGTTCTTTGGGGGAAATTTTTAACATATAGTAAGATGATATCACACGCTGAATTTGGGTTGTCCAGTCTTTTCAAAGTTTTACAAAAAAAATCACACTTCGTAGAAGAATGTTCGAGGAAGTTGGTCCTGGGGAGGCTTGACCAAGTTGGCCCATTTTATGTCCTCACGTTTAGTACAAATTTGAATAACCACATTTCGATTATTATAATGAATAAAAATAGTTACAATATAATTTGTTTGTCATGTATATAAAATCAAGAAGCAACCAATCTGGTTTGGTAAACACAACTGAATGGTTCTGTAAGAGAGGCTCACCGGGACACAGTTCTTCTCTTGTTTGAGGCACAGCTGGAGTTGACAGTGAAGGTAAACTTCACTCGTGCTTCCTGAAAACTGGAACATGTGGAAAGAGAAGTAGTTGGACGTTCCCATTCCATTCCCTGTCACCTGCACCGTCTGATCACTGGGATTGGCACAGCTGAGAGAAACAAACAAAACAAGTCAAAATAAGCATTAAAGAAAGAGAAAAGAAATGTGTGTAGGGTTTTGAATTATTTGTCGCTGTTTTATTATATTCATGTTTGTTTCTTCATCTTTCGTGTGTGCAGTTCCTCAGTGTTTCTCTCCTTCTGTCTCCACCTGCCCCTCCTTCTCCTGCTTGTCTGCCTGTTTTTTTTTTTTTTTACATCAGAGCTCTCTGAATGTTTGTGCCTTTTCCATAGGTATATCTATTAAACCTAACAATGAGCCGCATGCAAGAACGTTTGTATTCTTATCCTAAATTTCTCTTACTTTTTTACATGTCACGTCAGATTCAACAAACTCTTCTACCTTCAGGAAAAGTGTGTAAATGAGCAGCGTAAACATGATGAATGCGTATCCAGGTGCTCGTGCAGGAGGAGGGAAGATTAGCTTAATTACCACCCCAAAAACACCATATAAGGCTACGTTTCCTGTCCCACATACCAGGAAGGGCCTTTCACTCAATTTGCGCGTGCCCACATAGGGTTGGCCATATTAAGTCCCATCTGAAACCAATTACGTATGAGGGCAAGTGGCTTATTAAGCCCTCCACAGCGAGTCAGCATCCAATGCAGACTTGAGCAGCAGGTGCAACACCAAATAGTGGTCGGCATGGAGCATGGGACATATAAATATAAGTTCTAAATATGTTTTGTACACACATTTACTAAGTAAACGCCTCACCGACAAATATAATTTCACAAAGACTATATAAATCATGTTCAATTCAAACTTTATTAAAGACACAGAACCATGGTCCATATTTAAAAAAGAAGAAAGGAAAAAATTAAAAAAATAAAGAGAAAGTAAATAAATTATTTTTAAAAAAATTAAAAGTGCAATTGTTTCGACAAGTTATCAGTGTTTGTTACACATAAAGCAACCCATTCTCACTCCCAAGTCATCACATATTGATGCTTTTCCAAGGTTCCCTCTGCGTCTGGTTTTCACGTGTCTGCTACCCCCCTCGTATCAGTTAATGATGAGATGGGACGGAATCTGTTGTCATAATGTAAGAAGGTGTAGAAAATGTACCAAAACTACCGTCCCAAATCCTAAAATTACCTTTATTCACTCTAGACATGCTGTCCCTGACCCCAGTACCTAAAAATAACCATTTTTAGAAATTGTAGGAAATTCATGTGAACTACATGTTCCAATGCCTAAAATTACCTAATATTTCTCCTAGACATCCCATCGCTGACCCCACTACCTAAAATTAACCATCAACCCTGATCTCTAATATTAACCATGGACCCCAACTCAAAGACACCTATATTTTGTGTCCCAACACGTCAAACCTGGACGCCGAGGGAATACGGAAATGCCTGGTGCGTCAAAAACTGACGCGACGGGGGTACCCAAAGCAAACGCATCAAAATAAGATGCAGAGGGAACCTTGGAAAAGCATCAATACTGTATGTGACGAGTCGGGAGTGAGAATGTGTTACACACAGTCATATCTGAAAACTCTCTAAAATGTGGGCCTAATTAAATATTTTCATTGGTCTATTAAAAAAAACAATATTTTGGCGTTCATTCTCCAGCATTCAGTCACTGCCAGAGCTTGGACTGTTACCAAGATGATGACAGCTTCCTGTTCCGGTGGTGTGAGGAGAGCCCGTCTCAAAAGCGGAGGGTGTATACAGCACCATCAAGGGGACTCAGTTCAGCTGTGAGCGTGCTTCACAGTGAGTGTAGTGTATAGTGAGCAGTGTTGCCAGGTGTACGATAATTATCGTATTTGTACGATAATTTTGCCCTCTGTACGATGTACGATCAATAATCCCAAAAATCCCATAACAGAGTATGACGTATGAGTATGATGTAATTGACCCGACACGCTGCTCACTGACATGAGAGGTGGCGGGTTGTGGAACACAGTGGTGATGATTTAGCG